GTGCTGTGGCGAGTTTTGAAGCCAGACTGAAAAACCTCCAAGATATTGTGCTCATCCAAAAAACTTTTTACTTGTGAATATGCAATTTTTTCTAAAGTTTTTTAAATAAAAGGCAGCTTGGAGATGGGCCTAAAATTAGCCAAGACAGTTTGGTCTAGGCTAGGCTTTTTAAGCAGGTTCTGCACCACAGCATGTTTAAAACTTATTGGTACAACACCTGAGGACAGAATGTAAGTAGAATGTAAATAGTTAATGCTGTTGTGTCCTTAAAATTGTGGCATTTAATCACTTAACAAGGAATAAAAAAAGTTTGTTATTAATTAGGGGTGTAATGGTACGCTAAAATCACATTTCGGTTCGGTTCAGTTTCAAGGAGGGCTCGGTTCGGTTAATTTTCGGTACAAAAAAGGCAGAAATAAAGACTTAGAAATTGTTTATTTTGAAAAGATGCCAAGTAAACGATACATTTGTATAAAAATAAATAAAAGCAACCCTTTTGGATATTTTAAATAAATGGCACATTTTACAATAAATAAACTATACTAACAATAATAAAAATCTTATTAAATACAATAACAGTCGGAACCAGAACAATAAGCAGCAACAGACTTTTTTTTACTCACAACCTCTTCTTGGACCTGCTCCAGAAGGGACTTGCTACTTCCCACCTGTACCTGGAAAAGCTCAGAGTTCAGTCATCACAGACTTCTCAGCTGGATGTGATCTCTGGTGAATGATTTCCCTGAAGAGGAACTCAATGACATCCACAGACTTCAAACAACACAGAGGTAAAAGAAAATTGAGTTAAGATGATAATTTAAATAAAGTTAATTAGATAATAATAATAATAATAACAATACCTCTTCTTGAACAGTCATCATTTCTGTTGAATATTCTCTCGTTCATCATCATTATCAATCAACCTTTATTTATACAGGTAAATCCCATTGAGCCTCGAGGACTCATTAGTGCAGGGCTTTAATCTGGGCTCCAGGGCTTTTTCATAAAGTGCTGTTACAACTTTTTGGCTGAAGTGTTAATGTGATGGGATGTCGTAGAGGGGCTCAATAACTTTAAAGCCAGCGCATCAACAATAGAATACGGATGTAGATCCATAGCTTTAAAAACTCCCACAGCTTGTGTTATTGCTTTGGACTGATCTGAATTTCCCTATAAAGGTTGTTTAAATACTGCCGTTATCGGTCTTTGCACCAACCAAGCTGCTATTCTATAGAAGAGACGTTCACGTTCGGATGATGTCGTTTCAAATGCAATAGTAAGTTAGACGTGTTTCCTGCTGCAGATCCAATATCCATGAAACAATGTCGACGCACAGTTTTGGATTTGCAATTGTCTTTTAACAAGAAAGCCGTAATGTTCCCAAACAGGAGACCACAACAAGATGCTAGGCTGCTAATGCTACGTGTGCTGCAAGTTAATAGCACCGTGTTGAAACACACTTAGGAACTTTAGTTCTGCGGCACATGATCTCTCGTTAATAAAATTTAATGAGTGAAAAAATAACCGAAAAGGTACACACGTGGGCCGAACCAAACATGCCGTACCGAAACGGTTCAATACACCCACGTGTACCATTACACCTTATTAATTTAAACTGCTTTCTGATGGTGACTAGTGAAATATGTGCAACAGATTAAACTGTCCATTTAGACATACGTTTTTCATTACACATCTGTCCGTCCGCCCATCTGGTATCTTCCACTTGTTCTGAATTTAGGTCGTGGGGGCAGCAGCTTGAGCATGGAGGTTCAGGCATCTCTTTCCACACACAGCCACCTCTTCCAGTTCTTCTGGGAGGACCAAAGTGTTCCCAGGCCAACCAAGAGACATAGTATCACCAGCATGTCCTGGGTCTTCCCCAGGGTCTCCTTCCAGTCGAGCATGCCCGAAGCACCTCCCTACGGAGGCGCCCAGGGAGCATCCTTACCAGCTGCCCTAACCACCTCAACTGGCTCCTCTTGATGTGGAGGAGCAGCGATTCTACTCCGAGTCTCTCTTTGATAACTGAACTTCTCACCCTATGTCTAAGGGAGAGTTCAGCTACCCTGCAGAGGAAATTCATTTCAACCACCTGTATCTGTGGTCTTGTTCTTTCAGAGTTTGTGACCATAGGTGAGGGTAGGAACATAGACTGACCAGTAAACAGAGTTTTGCCTTACAGCTCAGCTCCCTCTTCACCACAATGGACCAGCACAGAGTCTGCAATACTGCAGGTGCTGCACTAATCCATCTGTCAATCTAATGCTTCTTCCCTCACTTGTGAACAAAACCCTGAGATACTTGAACTCCTCGACTTGAGGTAGAACCTCACCCTCAAGTATGTAGGGCTGGGTACCTTTCTGAAAAAAATAGGTACCGGTGCTGGTACCTTCATTTCGGTGTCAGTTCCTGGACGGTTCTTTTTTCTGTACTAATTTTGCTTTTACTATTAATTCTAACAAGAATGAAATTACGTTACACATTACAGTACAAATTGCGAGTTTTATTTTTTTAACTTTGGTATTTCTATTCCAAGTAGTTTTCTTACATAAAAATAAACAAATAATTTCCAGGTCAAAAGAACTGTTGCAAACAACTAGTGACATGTCAGTGTCTAATGCTCATTGCTTCACACTGAGGACCTTTTCACTTAACAGTTTTTCTTCAGAAAAATCAACATGTCTGCTTTCTATGGACACAAACAAACCCACTCCTGGCTGATGGTGTCTCCAGCAGTAGGAAATGTTCACACTGATGGTGTGGATGATGCTTGTTGCACACATAGATACCTGGTTGTCAGTTTGATAGCACTGACATATTGTCCCTCACATTCCACCAGCAGGTCACTGGATTCACTGAGGTTAGGGTTGATGCAGACTTCTGTAGCTCGGTGTCTCTTCCTGAATCTTCTCTGTGGTTCTCTGGGGTTTAGGGCTCTTATCATCTCCCTAATTGACATTAGAACCCAAAACATCAACAGTAACATGGTTGTGTTAATATTCCTCAAAAACATTATCTAGGCTGAGAAATAAAAGCTTAACTGGACAACAATATCCTTTACAGCTTAACTTACCTCCACCATGCAGCCTCCACTGTAGAAAAAGGCAGCAAACTTTTAACAGCAAAGTTTGTGACTGTCCTGTGGCCCCACCATCTCGCTTTTCTTTTGCCTGTCCTCCTCACATCCGGGTCAGAACTTCCTGTGAGGAGAACATAAACAAACAGTGAACATTAGCTGAACTTTTTAAGCAGCTGATCCGATGGATGAGCACATTTTTAAAAGCTAAGCTTTATCTGTTACTGTCAATCTTTAGTTAGCTTCTGAGTTTAGCTAGCTACGTAGATAAAATAAAGCTACACACTAATATCTTAAAGTTAGCGTTACATGGATTCTAGTTTCATTCACCGCAATGCACGTTAAGAAGCAGTAACATTAACAAACGTAAAACTTACCAGCTGAAACACAGACACAGCTCCATCCTCAGAATTCTTTGATGAAGAAGAGTCCGGTCGTGGAGCTGTTGAATCAGGCCGTCCATGCTCTGTAACACTCACAGGCTGACTTTAATGCTGGGAGGCTGCTGTCCTTCTCTTTGTTGCAGAAAATGTTGTCGAAGCCGTTCGACGACAACACGCGCTGCGCACATGAACCCCGTCTGTGGGCGTAACCAGCACCATAGACATACAAGCTGTAGGGCAGCTCTATACAGCTCTGGGTGTAAACTAGAGGATGACACAAGAGTGGATTTTCACTCCTGTCCTGTCCTGGTCCCACAGAAAAAATCCTGTCTTGTCCCAATCCTGGTCCAGAGTAATAAAAAAAAAAATCCTGTCCTGGTAACATGACTCCTGCTCCTGTCCTGTTCAGAATCACTCCCACTCCTGTACTGCTCCTGTTTTTTCTCTTCATTTAATTTTTAGGAAATGTATTTAATTTGATTTGATCTTCTACCCATTTTTTTTTATATTACTTTGTGTTCTGCAGTTTTTTTTTTTTCAAAAGATATGGCAACAGGAACAGTTCATCTGTGGTGAAATAAAGACATTTATTGTCTTAATCCAAACAAAAACCTTCTCTAAAGGGTACAAAACAAATTAAAGCTGCAAGCAGCATTGAAGGCCCTCGCAGCAAAGTGCCGCTCCGGCCTTACGGCGACCACGGGAGCTCCAGCAACTCCGCCCAGTCGGCATCGCAAATGCTCCCGTCCTGTGCCCATTCACCGGAGTGCGCATTCGCCAAACCTTCGACATCAGCTGCAACCGCGGGTGCTTCAGCAACGCCTCCCAGTCGTCATCGCGAACGCTCTCATGCCATTCCCGCATGCATCCACCAGGGTGCGCATATACCTAAACTTTGCAATTGCCTTCTGCCAATATCAGTATGAGAGGGTGCACACTTAAATCATATGTTAAACCACAATATCAATGTGTTTAGACGTGCTCACCAATTATGCACCAAAAATATGTTTCCGATCGGATGATAATTCACTGAAATATAACTGTTGGAATATCGTAGGGGGCGCACTTGAGTCAAATGTTAAAGAACAATACCAATGTGTCTATAAGTGCTCACTGATCACACACAATAAATCTGGAACATATTGGATGATATTTCACTGAGATATAACTGTTGGAATAATCTAGGGGGCGCACTAGAGTCAAACATTAAACAACCATACCTATGTATCTAGAAGTGCTCACTAATCACGCACAATAAATTTGGTACAGATCGGATGATGCATCACTAAAATATAACATGTAGAATAATCTAGGGGGCGCTCAGGAGTTAAATGTTAAACAACAATCACAATGTGTGCAGAATGGTTCACTGATCATGCACAATAAATCTAAAAATTATCGATTTGTTGTGTCGTGCGATTATGCGTCTTTCACGGCGCTGCGGAGCCGTTTTGTTTTGTTCACGGGCAGTTCATTGTCAATGCTGACTGACTGAATAAAGTTTGAAGTAAAAAAAACACTGCAGCGCGAGTTGAACAGAGCGAGGGGGGAGGCAGAGCAGAGGCGGTGTTTTCAAAGGAAATTAAGTAAATTTTACAAATGACCGATGCAGCGAAAACTGTTCGACCCAAGTCCTCCAAAGTGTGGGAGAACTTCACAAAGATAAAAAATGAGAAGCATGCAGCTTTGAAAATCGCCGACACGACACGGGAGAACCACGGTGAAAAACGTAAACATGTCGGAGTCACGAGGAGGAGGAAGGAGCTGCAGCAGCAGATACAACATGTCTCACTCCCAACTCGTGTTGCAGGTGAGTCTCTACAATTTAACACATTGTTCTGTTTCCAAGAGAGAAAACGTAACGTCAGTCTGTCTGGTAGATGAAGCTGTTTGTTTATCTGATTAATGACGGTGGTAGAGAACGTGTGTTACTTTTTATTTAATTTAATTGGAACAAGCAGTGTTTAAATGTGATTTATAAATAAATCTAAAACAAAGATAATAATTTAATGATTAAGCTTCAACTTTTAATTTGCTGGCAAAGTCTGAAGATACTGCAGGTATGGCAGGATGAATTGCATTTAAACAGGAATTAAAGTAATTTATTACATCTACTCAAATGTGTGTAATTAAGTATTTTATATATACAGGTCCTTCTCAAAAAATTAGCATATTGTGATGAAGGTCATTATTTTCCATAATGTAATGATAAAAATGAAACTTTCATATATTTCAGATTCATTGCACACCAACTGAAATATTTCAGGTCTTTAATTGTTTTAATACTGATGATTATGGCATACAGCTCATGAAAACCCAAAATGCCTGTCCCAAAAAATTAGCATATTTCATCCCACCTATGAAAGACAAGTGTTTTTAATACAAAAAACGCCAACTTTCAAATAATCATGTTCAGTTATGCACTCCATACTTGGTCGGGAATCCTTTTGCATGAATGACTGCTTCAATGCGGCGTGGCATGGAGGCAATCAGCCTGTGGCACTGCTGAGGTGTTATGGAGGCCCAGGATGCTTCGATAGCGGCCTTAAGCTCATCCAGAGTGTTGGGTCTTGTGTCTCTCAACTTTCTCTTCACAATATCCCACAGGTTCTCTATGGGGTTCAGGTCAGGAGAGTTGGCAGGCCAATTGAGCACAGTAATACCATGGTCAGTAAACCATTTACCAGTGGTTTTGGCATTGTGAGCAGGTGCCAGGTCATGCTGAAAAATGAAATCTTCATCTCCATAAAGCTTTTCAGCAGATGGAAGCATGAAGTGCTCCAAAATCTCCTGATAGCTAGCTGCATTGACCCTGCGCTTGATAAAACACAGTGGACCAACACCAGCAGCTGACATAGCACCTCAGACCATCACTGACTGTGGGTGCTTCACATTGGACTTATGGCATTTTGGCATTTCCTTCTCCCCACTCTTCCTCCATCTCTGGCACCTTGATTTCCGAATGACATGCAAAATTTGCTTTCATCCGAAAAAATTACTTTGGACCAATGAGCAACAGTCCAGTGCTGCTTCTCTGTAGCCCAGGTCAGGCACTTCTGCCGCTGTTTCTGGTTCAAAAGTGGCTTGACCTGGGGAATGCGGCACCTGTAGCCCATTTCCTGCACACGCCTGTGCACGGTGGCTCTTTATGTTTCTACTCCAGACTCAGTCCACTGCTTCCGCAGGTCCCCCAAGGTCTGGAATCGGCCCTTCTCCACAATCCTCCTCAGGGTCCGGTCACCTCTTCTCGTTGTGCAGCGTTTTCTGCCACACTTTTCCCTTCCCACAGACTTCCCACTGAGGTGCCTTGATACAGCACTCTGGGAACAGCCTATTCGTTCAGCAATTTCTTTCTGTGTCTTACCCTCTTGCTTGAGGGTGTCAATGATGGCCTTCTGGACAGCAGTCAGGTCGGCAGTCTTACCCATGATTGCGGTTTTGAGTAATGAACAAGGCTGGGAGTTTTTAAAAGCCTCAGGAATCTTTTGCAGGTGTTTAGAGTTACGTCGTTGATTCAGATGGTTAGGTTAATAGCTTGTTTAGAGAACCTTTTAATGATATGCTAATTTTTTGGGACAGGCATTTTGAGTTTTCATGAGCTGTATGCCATAATCATCAGTATTAAAACAATTAAAGACCTGAAATATTTCAGTTGGTGTGCAGTGAATCTGAAATATATGAAAGTTTCATTTTTATCATTACATTATGAAAAATAATGACCTTTATCACAATATGCTAATTTTTTGAGAAGGACCTGTATGTGTATCCTGATGCATGCTCAATAATCCAGGTAGAAAAATCCAAAAAAGTTCAATCTGGTCCTCTGGAAATTAAAAAAAAACAAAAAACAAAACAAAGCAAAAAAATATAGAAACGTTTCGTCTCTCATCTAAGAGAGTTCCTCAGTCTGAGGTGCTGTTTTCAGCTCAGTCTCTTAAATAGCACCGTCTCAGAGTGGATCAACCAGTTTGCTGCTGACAACCAAAACTAGCTGATCACATGCTCAAGAAGGACCATCAGCCTAACAATGGATCATTAGCACACTGATGGCTGTTTACTATTCACAGAGGGCTGAGTGACACTAGCAATCACAACATTGTAAGAGGGGGACAGTTGAACCCGGAGGCCTCCACCCCTTAGGGATGAAGATGTTCACATCCTGGACAGAGAGGAACGATGGTTTGAGAGAGGAGTAAAGGAGGCCATCTTTGTGAAAAGAAATCGTCCATCGTTAAACAGGGGTGGAGGCCTCCGGGTTCAACTGTCCCCCTCTTACAATGCTGTGATTGCTAGTATCACTCAGTCCTCTGTGAATAGTAAACAGCCATCAGTGTGCTAATGATCCATTGTTAGGCTGATGGTCCTTCTTGAGCATGTGATCAGCTGGTTTTGGTTGTCAACAACAAACTGGTTGATCCACTCTGAGAAGGTGCTATTTAAGAGACTGAGCTGAAAACAGCACCTCAGACTGAGGAAGTCTCTTGGATGAGAGACAAAACATTTCTATATTTTTTTGCTTTTGTTTTTTTTTTTTTGAATTTCCAGAGGACCTGTACTTGTGTGTGTGTGTGTGTGTGTTTAATTGCTCTTTTAGTTTCTTTTTCTTGAACCTAACACTGTAAGTGAAACAAGGCATTTCTTGAGTTGCTGTAAATTATGCTATAAGACATATTTACTCTTATTCCAGAAAACAACAACAATCAACAACATCCTTCATGATGGACAGACATCATGGACACCACAGCAGCAGCTGTCTTCACTGAAACATCCTTAAATGATCGTCACTGACATGAGGCCTCTGTCGATGGTTGAAGACAAAGGCTTCACTACAATGATCCACACTTTTAATCCAGGTTACAATAATCCACACTTTTAATCCAGGTTACAATAATCCATACTTTTAATCCAGGTTACACTCTTCCCTCAAGGACACATTTTACAAAGTATCTACATATTGTACAGGTATAAAGATACATTTGTATATTTTTTTGTGTACATTTATTTTTTTAAGCTATTTGACTAACTTTTATTTTTTATTATTCAATATTTTACTAACAGAATAGTCAAATAGCAACCTGTTTTTTGTGTGAATTTCTATGTCAGTCAAATGTTCAATTTTGGAATAAAGGGGTGGAAATTAAAACGTTGGGTTTTTTTTTTTTTGCTTTATCGATTAATCAAAAAATTAATCGGCCGATGAATCGATTATTGAAATAATCGTTAGTTGCAGCCCTAGTTTGAATAATGTAGGGGGCACACTTGAGTCAAAATTCAAAAAACAATACCAGTGTGTGTTAGAAGTGCTCACTAATGACGCACCATAAATCTGGTGCAGATTGGATGATATATCACTGAGATTAAACTGATTAAATATTCTAGGGGGCGCACTCGAGTCGTATGTTAAACCACAATATCAATGTGTCTATAGACGTGCTCACCGATTATGCACAAAAAATCTGGTTACGATCGGATGATGTTTCACTGAGCTATAACTGTTAAAAAAATGTAAGGGGCGCACTAGAGTCGAAAGTTAAAAAAACAATACCAATGTGTCCATAAGTGCTCACGAATGTCGCACCTAAAGTCTGGTGCAGATCGGATG